ATACCAGACACCCAGACAGTATGTTCCTCCTGATGGAAATACACACCACCACCTGATGTCGTTTGTTTACAGAAAAGAAGTTGAATCTAAATCTGGTCAAGACTCTAGTTTTTACAGTCTGCAGAGGACAGAGGAAAATATTAAACTGAATCACAAGGATACGGTGAACGATTCTTAGACTCTGGAAAACTTTACTGGATAAATGAGTCTGTTTCTTCCACTAATATAGTCAAGCAAAAAAAAAAAAAAAAATAGAGAGATGGCAGGAGACCTGTAAATTACGGGAAACTTAAAACACACATCAAACAAGTACAGTGTATGGCTTTTTCAGATCCTGTTTCAAACAGTGTTTCTGTGTGTGGTGTGTGCGTGCGTGTGTGTGTACATGCACGTGCAAAAATGATGAGGAACTGTGCTCACAGATTATCTGATGACATTTAAGAGTTTAAATAATTTTTTTAAGGTATGATAGTAGTGTTGTTAGGGTAAGAAGTTCCTTTTTGAATATAAATGGCTATATTTGCAAATTAAATTATATGATGTTTGGGATTTGCTTCAAATAATCTTCGGGTGGGGATGAGCTTAGTGGGTGGGCAAACAAGATTGCCATTAATGGAGCATTGTTAGGCCTGGTTTATTATGCCTTGGTCTCTTTTTGTATATGTTTGAAATTTACCAAAGGAGAAGTTTTTAAAACATGACTTTGTCTAACAGCCCAAGCCCTCCCAGTATTAGGCAATTCCTATAGAAAATGAATAAATTAAACTCAGAGTTCCTAAGATTTTAATTTTAAATCACAAATCTAAATTATACAACTACATATTTTAAATTGGAGCCATGAGATGAATCATCTTAGTCAGTATAAATAATTAAAATACCAAATATGTGCAGGTTTTTCTAAATACAAATTATTATGTTCATTATATTCCACAAATAAGTGAGATAGAGTAGACCCAGAGACATGGAAGTAGGGTACAGACTAACAACCCTCAGAAGAGGGGGTGGTGGGGGGAGGGAAGAGATAAACCACAGAACTTATATGCATGTAAGCATGACCAATGAACATGGACAACAAAGCTGGGTACGGGTTGGGGGGGATGGGGAGGAGGGTGTCAATGGGGAAAAAAAGGAGAAACATGTAACAAAAATAAGTTAATAAAAAATTTAAAATAAATAAATACAAATTATTAATATTTGGGGTTTATTTTTAAAAAATGTCCTTTTAAAAAATAAATTTATTTTTGTTACAGATGTTTTTCCTTTTCCCCCATTGACACCCTCCTCCCTGTCCTGCCCACCCCCCAGCATTATTGTCTATGTCCTTGTTTACGCATACATGCGTATAAGTTCTGTGGTTTATCTCTTCCCTCCCCCCACATCCACCTCTTCTGAGGATTGTCAGTCTGCACCCTACATCCATGTCTCTGGGTCTATTTTGTTCTTCAGCTTGTTTTGTTCATTATATTCCACGGATAAATGAGATCATGTGATATTTGTCTTTCTCTGATTGGCTTGTTTCATGTAGGATAATACTCTCCAGGTCCTTCCATGTTGTCTCAAAGGATAAGAGATCTTTCTTTCTTATAGTTGTATAGTATTCCATTGTGAATATGTACCATATTGTTTTCCATAGTGGCTGCACCAGTCTGCATTCCCACCAGCAGTGTACTAGAGTCCCCTTTTCTCCACACCCTCGCCAGAACTTGTTGTTTCATGATTTGCTGATGGTAACCATTCTGGCAGTGTGAGGTGATACCTCATAGTTGTTTTACATTTTTCAAAAATTTATATACTTAAATCTTGGGGTTTAAAGACACTCACATACTAAGGAAACACATATGTGATCCCATGCAATTTTGGCATGCCATCCAAACCAGTTGTTGGGGTTGTCTCTTCTCATCTGGCTGAGGATTCTTTTTTTAAATATTTTTAATTGAGTTTTTAGAGAGAGAGGAAGGGAGAAAGAGATAGAAACATCAATGAAAGAGAGAGACATCAATCAGCTGCCTCCTGCACGCCCCCTACTGGGGATCGAGCCCACAACCCAGGCATGTGCCTTGACTGGAAATTGAACCAGGACCTCTCAGTCCATGGGACGACACTCAATCCACTGAGCCACACCGGCCAGGCTGGCTGAGGATTGTTAATGACCAGTGAGACCCTTGGCCAAGATGCCAACTGGACCCTTGCCCAGGACACACAAGGGCATCCCCAGTGCTCTTTGGAGTTGCCATGGCAATGCTCTTCAAGTTGGGTCTTCTGGAAGCCAGGGCTGTGGGTTAGAGTCTTGTCATTACATAAGTTTTCTGTTCCTGGGAGACTGTAACTTCCACTAAGAGAATAACTAATGACCTTCACTGCTTCAGTGGGTTTCACATTTCTTTGATTTTTAAAAAAGATATTTAAATTGCTTCCTGGCTAGCTCCAAAGACCTTTACATTTGAGGAAACTTACTCTCTCAGGACTTTGCCTGACTCTACAAAAAAGGCCATTCCAGTGAAACACACTAAGCAAACATTTGAAGATTCCCTCTGATGCAGAAACGGGGAGTGACGACTCACTTGTGTGTCCTGAGTCACTTTAGTGAGTCATAGCCAGCATTAAAAAATATAATAGAATCGACTGGAAAGTATCAGGTGGCATTACAGATTGTAAGGATAAATATTATTTTTTGAAACTTTGATTTTATTTGTATATATTTAAATGCAATTGAATTTCTTACTGTGGGTCACCATCAAAACTTTTGAAAACTGCCTTCAGTATGAGTTGGAAAATGCAAAAAGAGCCAGGCACACAGGCAATAGCAAGAATTAATTATAAACTGATAGGGAGGAGATAGGCCAAAAAGAAAATAAACACGGAAAACAACCTTGATTAAAACAAACATCAGATCTAAAAAAAATAGAGTAAATGGTAGTCGCTTAGTGGAGGAAAAAGTATTACTACTAAGGACTCAGGTACTGGCATTATGGGTTATGTTTTTATGTCTCCTCCTTCCCTCTGTACTCTTGTTCACCATTATCTCCCCTTTGGTAGCACAGTGCCTGGCCCAGTGTAGGCATCCATAAATAAACATTTATTTAATATAAATATGAGTAGTTAGATCACCTGTTTCAGAGGATCTAGAGGAAGAGCCTGGGGTCTAGGAATCCGTATTTTAACAAAGTTTTCAGGCAGTCAACCTAGCAGCAGTTGCAGGCCAATATTTAAGAAGCATTGACCTGTTCTACCCACTCATTTTTTTGGCCTAAGTTGTCCACACAGTTAACATTAGAACCAAAGTTAGAACTTGGGTTACTCACCTTCTGGCAAAGGGCTTTACCCACAATTTCACCAGTGTCTCATGTTGATTACTTCTTACCTTCTGGTAAATGCCTTGGACTTCATGCTTCTTCCCTCTTTTACCTCATGCTTTCTGCTGCTTCCACTCATTTTCCTATATTACCCATCATTTCATTTTCCTACTCTACATCTTAGGCTTTCTCTCTACTGCTGGTATTAAGACCAAATGCTGTAACATACCATTCAAGAACCTGCCACAGTCTGGCCCCAGCCTGTCTTCTTCCTGTGACCTTCTCTCAACTCCCTGTCATCTTGCTCCTTCTGCTGGGGCCGCTCCAAGACACCTGGCCTGCCCTGGGCCTACCTCACCCTTCCCTGACCCTGATATTCTGTTCACGTATATCCTCCTATTGGAACAGCCCTGTTTTCCTCTGAATTACATTCATCCTCTCAAAGTTTAAGTGCCACTTCTAGAAAAATTTCCCTGGCTTAATTAATTGTTTCTTGTTGCTTCCCTTTGCTCTTTGTTTATGTTCTGTTATAGCACTCAAGACTCATCGTGTTGTACCTTGTTAGCTCAGTCTGTGTTACTCTCTCTTTTGAGAAAGTACATGTCCAGACAGCAGTATTCATATGTACTTTAATTCTCTATAGTCTCTACAGTGCCTTGCAATTAGCATTAAATAATGCATTGGTAAAGTTAATTTTTCTATGAATTATGATTACATCAAAGTTAATATTATTGGCAGCTTAGCCAATTAACGAATGTAAAATGTACTTCAGCCTCTATAGGAGGTCTCAGAGCTCCTTGTGACTTTGCCATTCCATTCTTTTATAAGCCCAATTAAAAAAAAAAAAGTACTGTAGGATTTATGTGCTGTTCATGCTAAATGATTCTTTGTTTTGCTCTGGAGAGGAGGAAGGCAGATCACAAAAGGGTAGTGATCTTAAAGAGAAAGGGTTAGCAAATTGGGTCCTTACTAACTGCTGTTTGTAAGAGGTTGGTGGTGGTGGGGTGTAGTAGTTAAAGAAATGAATATGGCATAAAAGAAAAACGGAGGACAGAGCATCTACTGTAGTTTCTCTGTTTGTATTAAAAACCCTGCAGCTCTGCCTTTGCGGCCCATCATACTTCTGTTTCAGGTCAGTTCCATGCTCCATCTGTTAGCAGAGCGGTGTCTGGGCCCTACCCAAGACAGTGGATCCTCTGCCCAGCTCAGAGCGTAGAGTAGAAAGCCTAGCACAAAAGTACACATCGCTCAAGCACTTTTATTTTGCTGACGTTGATGCCTATTAAATAACTTTTATATGATCACATTGGGGTGATTTGAAAAGTGAAATCACTGTTGGAATATGTGTTTTTGTTTTTTTTTTATCCTCACCCGAGGACATTTTTCGATATTTTGTTCAGATAGAGTGGGAGGGAGAGAGAGAGAGAGAGAGAGAGAAACATCAATGTGAAAGGGACACATCAAGTGGTCGCCACCCACACGACCCAACCAGGGCCAGGGACAAACTGCAACCGAGGTACGTGCCCTTAGCGGGAACTGAACCCGGGTCTCTCCAGACCGCAGGCGGACGCTCTAACCGCTGAGCCAGACCGGCCCGGGCGGAATATGTTTTATTGTTTGTTTCTGTGGCATAAACTAAAGCTAAACCTAATTAAAAATAATAACAAAATCCTCCAGCTGAAATGGTTTGTCTATTTTTGCCAACAGGTTCCTCGCATTGACTCCATGGAGAGTGTATCACCTGATTGCCGTCATGATACTTGGGCGTGTTATTATGCAAATAATAAAGGATATGGTTTTGTCTAGAAAGAGAGGTAAGAAAACTCAGAATTCATTATTGTGGCATTTGCTTTTCTAGAGCCTGACTGTGTGGTCTTTGTGTTGGCATATGAACCAAGAAGTCCTTTGAAAAGGAGCAGAATGTCAGGTGACACAGGCATTGGCTTTGCTGTTCTTAATGTTGATTAAATATTCATTTGTTAAACATTTATTTAATATGTATTATTTATCTAACTGATGTTGTCCCCAGTCATAGCTACTACTCGAGGGCAAAAGGTTTGTATCTGCTGCTTTCTCCTTTAGCTCCGAACACTATGATTTTAAATTCCATTTTGATATTTCAGTAGGTTACAGGGAGGATAGCAGGTAAATATTTATCACATCCTACACGATGAAAATGGGCCTTCAGAAAAGACTGGTTTATATAAATTTTTTTTATACCTCAAAATGAACAAAAATAATTCAAGGCTTAAAAACAATTAAGTAATGGTTAAATTAAAAAAAAAAAATTAGCTGATGAAGAAAAATGAACTAATTTTAAACATGAAGTTGGAAATGGAGTACTTTGCCCAGCTGGTATGGTGCAGTTGGTTGAGCAGCGTTCCATGTGCCAGGAGGTTGTGGTTCGATTCTGGACTCCATCCCCAGTAGGCATCGTGCAGGAGGCGGTTGACCAATGTCTCTCCTCTCTTTCCCTCCTTCCCTCCCTCCTTCCCTCCCTGAAACCAATAAAACCATTTTTTTTTAAAAGTGAGAATTTAAATTAATTTTAAACTTTTCTGAAGGTGTTTTATGACTAATTTATCTATATTATAAATTAAGTCAGGCTTTTCCATGCTCACAGGGTCCTCTTCTACCAGGTTTTGAGCTTATTTTGCAAATGGGCAAAAATCCCTCCTTGGAATAATTGAGCCCGTGAACCTAAAAGTGGTGAGATTGATTTGAATAAAAATGGCTAAGAGAAGGTTACAATAAGGCATTAGATTTCACTAAATGTAATCCCAAATGGAGGGATAATTTTGGTTGGGGTCCACATGATGGATACATATAAGACCTGCCGAGAGTTCTAGCCCAACAGGGGCACCAGGGCCTCTTTGTAGAGGGTACCCTTCTCCTGATGCCAACTCTGAGACCAGGGCCATAAGCTATTACATACTTACCATCATGATGTTCTGAAGTGGACTTCAATCCGGTGTATATTTTAAGTCTTTATAGTTCTTAAACTAAAATTTCTTCATTCCAAACAGTGAACAAATTTGGTTTTGTCCAGTCATTACTTTTCATGATCTATAGATTTAGATGATATTCTGGTATGCATTCTTCTTCTCTCCTTCTCTCCTCCTCCTCTCTCCTTCCCTAACCCCCTCTTCTGTTTCAGAGAACAGACTCCTAACTGCTAACCTCACAGGCACCTGCCCTGATGGTCTCTGTTTGCCCGAGATGTGTGAAGGCCACCCCGAGGTGGAGCATCTCAGTGCTGTAGGATGTTGTACCGGGGTTCGGTGGGATCAGTGCTTGGCGATCCCCATGTCTGCCTTGATTCATAACTGGTAGAGGAGAGCCTGCTTTTCTCAACTAGTCTTTGTAACAGTTTCACCCTCCAGAGCCTCCCTAATGGAAATCTTAATAGAAATAGCCACTGACAAATTGTATCTAGTCATTTTAGCTCAGTAGCGGAAGTCGACTCACAGAGCAAGCTGAGCGTCTCTGTATTTTCAGTGGTCCTAGCACAAGTTACACAGAATGGATGGATGTGGAAGGCCAAGGATAAAGCTGAAAGACTTCCTAACTGTCCCTTTCTCACTCTCGGCCCCCTACACAGAGATCATTTTTAGCACTGACTCATTGGTTTGCTATTCTTGCAGATATGGAACGTCCATATTCACAAATTGCAAGGAACCCCTGCATTGCAAAGATTCAGTCCTTTAAAAAAAGTATCGTGGTAGAGTTGAGAGACTTCTAGCCTAATGGGTCTCTAGTTCTTGAGCTGACTCACTCCATTTCTTGCCAGTGGAGAGAACCCAGTCATAGGCTGCATTCATGTCCTTTGGCTGCTATAAGAACTTACCACAAACTTGGTGGTTCCAAACAACAGAAATTTCTTCTCTCATGGTTCTGGAGGACAGTAGTCCAAAATCAGTATCATGGGGCCAAGTCAAGGTGTCAACAAGGGCTGTGGTCTCTCTAGAAGCTTTGGGGAAGGATCTGACTTCTCCCTTGTCTAGCTGGCTTGTAGCCGCATCACTCCAGTCTCTGCCTTCATGGTCACCGTACCTTCTCCTGTCTGTGTCAAATCTCCCTCTGACATCCTCTTTCAAGGACACTTAAGACTGTATCTGGGGCCTATCTGGATGATCCAGGATAATCTCCATTGCGTGACCCTCAGCTTAATTACATCTAATAGATCCCTTTGTCCACAAAGTCATATTTTACAGGTTCCAGGGATTAAAACCTGAGGTCTTCGGGAACTATTATTCAGCTACTACCTCTTTATCTTGTGAAATGGGAGAAACCAACCTATACTCCAGGGCTGTGTAAGGGTTGAAGGGTTGAGTAAGAGGGCGAAAGAGAAGTGCCTTGGGCACAGGAAGAGTCGGACAGCATGGGGTTTGTCCCCTCGTCAGGCAGTCTGGGAGTGCCTGTCTGTGCCAGGGCCTCCTGTGGGCACTGGGCTTACAGTGTGGTTCAGACACTCCCCGGCCCCTCTGCCCCCTGCAGCTCTCACGCTCCATCCTGTGTGGCACACATTTGTCACTGGCCAATCTTTCTGTCAGGGTTTTCACGGGGTGACATTGCTCTGAATACAGCATTTCAGCTGAATGAAAAAAAAAGGAGAAATGGGATTAATTACTGTGCTTTCCCAGCATACCCCAGTCTGTGGCTGAAGAAACACTGGTGCCTGCTCCGTCCTCTTTGTCAAGTGTTTTAGGACAAAGGCCCATGTGAGGCCTGTGCATAGCTGGTAGGAGCTGGACTTCGCAGGCCTTTCAGCCCAGGGCCTGGCTGTGATGAACTGTCTCTGGGAGACACAGACTCGGCTTCCAGTTAGATCCAGATGCAGTTGTGGGAACGCTGCGGCTTCCACCAGAACTGCCGGCTGCTCCCGCTACATTTCTTGGCCAGCAGCAACAACACGGGGGAGGGACAACCAAGTCAGCAGGTCCCAGGCTGCTCTGGCTCCTTCCACCCCTCGACTTCCCCATGCCCACAACGTTTCAGACGAAAGATATTAAACTTCCGTTGTTAAGAATTTGATTGTATTCATTATTATTTTTAATACTATCTTAGATGCTTACTATGAACTAGGTGAGCGAAAGCATGGCGATCCTTCCTGTGGGTTTGTCTTTGGGAAACCTCGAGAGCCCAGGCCTCTGTTAGACACCAGCATGGGCAGCCTCCCGCTGCCGTGGTTTCTCCCTCTCTTGGCTGTGCACTTTGAGTGTGTGCTTCCTACATTAGCCCCTTCATCTGGGCTTTAGGGAACTCTTCGGCAGTGCGGAAAAACTCCTGCAGCCTTGGCCGTTTCCTTGACCACCTTCTCCTTCTCCCTTATTGCCAAAGAACGAGGATGTCTACCCCGGCTCTTTGAGATGCTCTGGGCTCCGAGGGCTCCACACAGCCACCTGAGCGGCATTTTCACCTCTGTCTCTTCAAGCCTTCCCTCCTGCATAGTCGGCATTACTCATTTGAGCCACGTCCTGGTTGCTACTGAGCACAGACACGTGGGGAATCCTGGCCTGTGAACGGCAGTCCTTTGTGCCTTCTCTGTTCTCTGTCCTTCCAGCTTATACCCTGATGGCTCATAAGACAGCCTAGATTCCACCACCGCTCGCTGTGGGCTCATTATTAACCTTAGCCTCTGGAAGTACAATGTCTCCAACCACTGCAGAGGCTGAAGGGTGGTCCTTGGGGGACCCCTCTGTCCAGGCTCCTGCCCCTCGCTGTGGCTGAACCAGTCTTGGTGCTTAGTTTCAGTGTTTTCCTGCTCAGCCTCTGACATCGCTGTCCCATGGCCCTGAGCAGCCCCAGCCTGGTCTGTGCTCCGTGACTGCAGTGCCACCGCCCTTGCTGTTCTGTAGGCCCTCGGGCCCTTAGCCAGCAGCTGTGCTCATTTGCCCACTTTTTAATAACAAAGCAAACAAGCAAACACCTCACACTCTCATCTGCTTTTTCCACTCTTGTCTTGTGTTGTCAGAGAAATGTCATATGACAAGGTGAGATGGTGCTCCTAGGATTTAGTCTATCCATCTTAACAACATTAGTTGAGATCTCACTAGTGCTCATAATTTCTTGGATTCTTCTGTGTTGTTTATTTGCTTTGTTTGACATGCCATCTAAGTCCCAAACATTTGAGGCTGCTTATAAGGAACATAAAAAATAAGACAGCGTACAAGAGGTCTAGTAGAAGAATAGGAGTCCAACATGGTGACCAGAATGGAGCAACAGATTTATCCCTGGGCTTACTGGCAGCCAAGGTAAAAAGTGAAACCAGATCAAACACACAATTCTAGTATCTGCAGAAAGGATGAAGCAATTTTGAGAAACTTTTTCCTGGCATTAAATTTTAAGTAGAACTTGTCACATAGATCTCTGACAAGGGGATACTGAAGAACAAGAGACCACATCTTTGGTACTTGATGGAAAATACAGAAACCACCTTATAGCCATTTCATTAAAGCTGGTAGTTGAAAGTCTAATATTTAGGCATAATCCAATGAAGAATGTTACGAGGGAATTACACAAGCAAATGAAAGCGAGGTATATATTTTTCCTGTTGATTTCATTTGAGCCTAGATATAAGCTCAAAACACCTAAAGAAGGAATTAAAAACCTCCTTTCTCAAATAAGATGTCTTAGTTCCCCTTCGTCAACACCATTTCAAAGCTCAATTAATTGCCATCTCTGTTTTTGGTGCTTTCTGAGCAGACACATTCTCTCTTGTCCCAAAATGCTCATGGTTCATGCATCTTGTATAGTTTCTACCTTGTTTTGTATTCAATAGAGTGCAAATTTTGGCAGCACCAGTAGACAGTGAAGTCCTCAAGGCAGGACCATGTGGTATATAGTTTTCCATCTCCCGTGCTACCTATCCACGTGTTTTGCATGTAGTGGTATCTTAAATATTTGTGGACTCGTTGCCTGCATTAGTTATGATATCAGAGGTGTACGCTGTGTGATTGGATAGTTCTAGAGTTTAAAGATCTAAGCATAAAGTTTTAAATGGGTCAGAATATTTCTAAGTTGAGAAATGCCTCTGCAGAAGAATACCGGTTAAGCTCGCCCTCTCCCTTCTCGTTGCAGGTGCACAGCTGTGGAGAAGCCTCAGCGAAAGGTAGGACACGTCCTCTCATGCTGTGCTGGTGGGGTCGGCCGGGGGGGAGTGGGCCTCCAGGGTGGGTCTCTGCACTAATGTGTTAGTGACAGAAGTATAAGTCCTGTAGTAACTTATAAGAATGGGAAAGTAAAAGAAAACTCAAATGAATCGAGGTCAAAGGTCCAGCTGGAACTCATTTAAGAACAGTTCACCTCTTGCTGTAATACCGGGCAGCCTGAATCTGTTACTGTCACAATGTGTGACGACTGCAAGTGAAGACATGGAGGCATTTTCTTTAGGGATTTCCTGTCAAACTTCAGTTTGGGGTATGAACGGCACTGCTTGTGGGGACCAGGGTGACCCCGGGTCCTGAAACTGTGCTGGAACATTCCTGAAGGGTTAAGCACACTGTCGGTTCCGAGGACCTTGGGGTGGGAGGAGCAGGTTCGAGGCTGAGGGGTGAGGGTACACAAACGTTGACTGACCTCTTGAGTCCTTGCCCAACCCGAGACAAGTACTTTCCCTTTTCATTTGATGTCACCTGTCCTGAAGTTAAAGTGCTGTTTCCAAATGGGAGAGAAAGAGCTGGGCAGTGGATGAGGGGAACATCATTCACTTCACCAGCTGTGCATATGAGAAGTGGAAAAATGAGGAAAGTGGAAGGATTAATATTCCAGTAAAATGAATTTTTACGGGCACTTACTTTTTTAAATTCAGAAACATTCTCGTATGACTTGGAGAGAGGGTGTCGGGGTGCCTGGTTCATATCAAAGTAGACAGTATGAAACAAATGCACAGAAAGGACAAACCAGAGCCATTAAATCCTATGAAAAAACATAACTTGGTATTTTATGTACCTTGAAAACGGTGCTCTTAGAAATACTGCTTATTTCAAGTGTAAAGGGTAATCTTATGACCAGTTGACTTCTGCTGGCTTGTTCCTCCATTTCAGGTCCCAAATTTCCATGGACGGACATTTATGAATTTGCCAGAAGACTCCCCAGAGGGAGACATTGGGTCTAAGAAGAAAACCCAGTGGTTCTCAGGGAGGCGGAAGGATGTTTGGGAGGGATGGCATGACCAGGGGAGGAAAGAGCAATGTTATGACAGTCATTTTTCTCGAAGTATTTTCTGGGACCCAATGTTCCAATTTGTGTGCACTGAAGGATGGGGGCTGGTTGTCACTGGAGCCAACCATAGGAGTAGAGGGTTGGAACATTCAGTCCCAACTCCTGACCTCTGGGGAGGGACGAGGGGCAGGAGGTTGAACCAGTCACCAATTGCCATTGATTTAGTGAACAGTGCCTACGTAATAAAGCCTCCATAAAGCCCCGAAAGGACAGGGTATGGCAGACATGTGGAGAGACCATGGAAGCTCTGTACCCTTTCCCCATACCTTGTCCTATGCATCTCAGCCATCTGGCTGTCCCTGAGTCACATTCTTTGTGATCAGTTGGTAATCTAGTAAGTAAAAGAGTTCTCTGAGTTCTCTAAGCTGCTCTAGCAAATTAATCGAACTCAAGGAGGGGATCATTGGAGCCTCCAGTCTGTAGCTGATGGATCAGAAGCACATGTGACAGCCGGACTTGTGATTGGTGTCTGAAGTGGGGGGGGGGGGGGAATACTTCTGATATCTTTTCACTGCAGTTTACATTGTATAATTTCACTTCTAATCTAGTCAGCTCATTGAAGATATGAAATTAAAATATTTATTCCTTGAATTCTTTTGATTAGGGTTTGGTATGTTGTTTACAGTGATTCTTTCCTGTAGTAGTGGGCAGTGCTTGTGTTTTTTAACACTGAAAACTTTAAAACCACTTTAGTGTAAGGATACAATACAATAATGGATAAGAAGATCCTTGGAGGCAGAGAGAGGCACTGCCTTGCTCCTATGTGCCATGTGGGCTCAAGGTCTTTCCTCTTCCAAAGTCCCAGGTGCTGAGCTCAGACACCTCGCTCTCACTTGGCGGTAGTTAGACATCAACACCCACCACCATGGCTGCACAGCTGGATTCCCAGGTTAGCAAACCAGCATTAGTTTCAACTCTTTCAAGCACTGTGTAAGTAGTTTGTGTTCAGAATGAGCCAGACCTTCTCTCCGGGGGGCTCTAGTTGGCTCATTTAAGGACCTTAAATGCACTGTTAAAAAGGTGAATCAGACCTGACTGTGTTCAGTGGTTAGAGCATTGGTCCAAGGACCGAAGGGTCACAGGTCCAATTCCCAGTCAAGGGCACATAACTGGGTTGCAGGTGCACTCCCTGGCCCCGATCAGAGCAGCGCAGGAGGCAGCAAATCTATGTATCCATCTCACATCCATGTTTCTCTCTCCCTCCCTCTCTCCCTCTCTATCTAAAAATCAATGAAAAATTATCCTCGGGTAAGGATTAATAATAATAATCTTTTTAGCCCTGGCCGGTTTGGTTCAGCGGTTAGAGCATCGGCCTGCAGTCCTGAGAGACCCGGGTTCGGTTCCTGCTAAGGGCGCGTACATCGGTTGCAGTTTGTCCCCAACCCTGGTCGGTTGTGCGGGTGGCAGCCACTCGATGTGTCCCTTTCACGTCGATGTTTCTCTCTCTCTCTCTGTTCCTCTCTCTCCCTCCCACTCTACGTAAACAAAAAATGGAAAAATGTCCTCGGGTGAGGATAAAAAATAATAATAATAATAATAATAATAATAATTTTTTTAAAAGGTGAATAAAATAATGGAGCATTCTCCCTTCAAAAAGCCATTGTAAACTTTACGTTAAAAAGGAGCACCTCAAAAAGGGAACCCTCATGCACCATTAGTGGGGATGCAGACTGGTGCCGCCACTACAGAAAACAGTGTAGAGAGTCCTCACAACATTAAATATAGAACTACTATACGATCTGGAAATTCCATTTCTGGGTATAATATCCAAAGAAAATGAAAACAAGATTGAAGAGACATCTGCACCCTCGTGTTCATTGTAGCATTCTTCAAACGGCCAAGACTTGGAAACAACCGAGAGCCTGTCTCAGATAAATGGATAAATAAGACAGGTCTATACACACAATGGAATATCATTCAACCATTAAAAAAAGAAGGAAATTTTGCCATTGGTGACAGCTTGGATGGACCTTGAGGACATTATGCTAAGTGAAATAAGTCAGACAGAAGAGAAAGACATAATACAGCATGATCTCACTGACGTGTAATTTTAAAAAGCTGAACGCAAAAAAAACAGAGTAGAGGGTTATCGCCAGGGGCTGGGTGGTGGGGGAAATGAGGAGATGTTGGTGAAAGGGTACACAGTTCCAGTAAGGGGAATGAATTCGGGGCATCTTCATGTACAGCACAGTGAGCATAGTTAACAACAATATAGTATTATATTCTCAAGTTGCTAACAGTAAATTTTAAATTTTCTCACCAAAACAACAAAATAATAATGATGTGTTAACAAACCTTGCTATCTATGTTGCAATATATATGTGTATCAAGTCATCATATTGTTCACCTAAAAGTTGTACAATGTTTCATGTAAATTACATCTAAATAAAGCCTTAGGGGGTGAGGGGCCAGGAAAGGGATGCCTTCCTCCTCCACATCTAATGGTTTGTTATTTCACAGACTGTTATTTACTCTTTGGGAAAACTTGCTTTTGTCAGCTAAGGTAGCTTAAAGTAGTTCCTTCAAAATTAAGCAGGAAGATGGCAGCACACATATGCATGTATAGATTTTCTGGACATTCAGAAGATTTTCATAAAGTTCACTTGTATTATACTTTACTACATAACAACAAAGCCAGCTCCAATATTGTAATTGGCAGTAAAACCTGGATACTTAAAAAAAAAAAGTTTTTTCCTTTATTGATTTTTTTAGAGAGGAAGGAAGAGGGAGAGAGAGACAGAAACATAGATGAGAGAGAGCATCGATTGGCCGCCTCCTGCATGCTCCCCCACTGAGGATCAGGCCCACAATCTGGGCATGTGCTCTGACCCGGAATCCAACCAGCGACCTCTTGGTTTATGGGGCGTTGCTCAACCACTGAGCCACACGGGCAGGACTAAAACTGGATCATTTTAATCATATGCCATGCACATATTGATTTTTGTACCTGGAAAATTAATTTTGTGCAGATGATTCTTAGTGGGTAAATTCCGAGAAGCGCTCAGGCTTGACCTATTTTTTAATAACCAGTAAGCACTAACTCTACAATCTGTGAACAGGATTTACACAGAGCTGTCAACCTAACCAAATTAGCATCTTTTATGACTCATTCCTAGTATTGAAATGAAACCTGATCCGTAGTGGAATAGCTTTTGATTTCAGCACATATCTGTGGCAGCTGACTGAATAAAATCCCGTTAACAAAGGAAAAATTGTGCCCATCACCTTTTAAAAACAAGATCGTTTTCAGTTGGACCAGGGTTTTCTAACCCTAGTTCTTTAATAGTGTTGTACATTATAACTCAGGTTAAGGAGTTGTCCTCATCATAAATCTTGTTTCATTGTTCAGGTCCAATTTACAGAAAATACAGGGGTTTTTCATGGCAACTAACAATTTTGAAAATTACGGCTGAGAGCTTTGGGATTTTCTGACAGACTTCCCCAGAACCCCAGCCTCTGGCAGGGCCACTCCCTAGGAAGTGGGGGTGGCGTTTCGGTGAGGAGTGCAGCTGACCCACTGCGCCTCACCTGGAGCAGACTTTTCAGTGCGCAGCCGAGAATTAACAGTCTGTCTCTCTAGATCCAACAGGGATTAGCAACAGTTGTGAGCTTGTGCCTCTGGCTGAGTCAAATTGCAGGATGACTCCTTCTCTTGCCGGTCTCATCTGCTCTCAGGAGAACCAGTTATGTGGCCCACTTCATGGGATACGATGCCCTTTGTCTGGTCAGTATCCACATCATTGCTGAAGTGTTCTAGCTGGATACCCCTCCCCGGGGGAAGGAGAGCCGAGAATCTTTGGTTGTAAAACCCCAGCCTTAAGCTCGCCCCACCTCAGATGCCCAGAATGGATTGGAGCATTTAAGTAAGAAATGTCTCGTTAAATCCTT